CGATAATAAAAAACCGCCATAAATCTTACAAAGCCAACGAAATAAGACATTCTAATATGAAAAAATACCAGCACATGCAAGATATTAGCAAATTAAAGCGAAACTGTAAGAGACATGTAAAGGAAGGTGAATAGAAAGGCACAAAGAATGAAGTGGGATTCTCCTGACAATAAAGTGTAAAAAAGCTGAAAAGAGGCTGCAATGAATGAGCGGGGGGGGGGGGGGGAGGGCTCAGGGGAGGAGGGGCTGGTGGCGGCGAGAGCCTGGCATCGGGCAGCACACGTTGTAGTTGCACATATCTCCCCATATCTCCCCATATCTCAGCAGGCCTGGCATCGGGCAGCACACGTTGTAGTTGCACATATCTCCCCATATCTCCCCATATCTCAGCAGGCCTGTCATCGGGCAGCACACGTTGTAGTTGCACATATCTCCCCATATCTCCCCATATCTCAGCAGGCCTGTCATCGGGCAGCACACGTTGTAGTTGCACATATCTCCCCATATCTCCCCATATCTCAGCAGGCCTGGCATCGGGCAGCACACGTTGTAGTTGCACATATCTCCCCATATCTCCCCATATCTCAGCAGGCCTGGCATCGGGCAGCACACGTTGTAGTTGCACATATCTCCCCATATCTCCCCATATCTCAGCAGGCCTGTCATCGGGCAGCACACGTTGTAGTTGCACATATCTCCCCATATCTCCCCATATCTCAGCAGGCCTGTCATCGGGCAGCACACGTTGTAGTTGCACATATCTCCCCATATCTCCCCATATCTCAGCAGGCCTGTCATCGGGCAGCACACGTTGTAGTTGCACATATCTCCCCATATCTCCCCATATCTCAGCAGGCCTGTCATCGGGCAGCACACGTTGTAGTTGCACATATCTCCCCATATCTCCCCATATCTCAGCAGGCCTGTCATCGGGCAGCACACGTTGTAGTTGCACATATCTCCCCATATCTCCCCATATCTCAGCAGGCCTGTCATCGGGCAGCACACGTTGTAGTTGCACATATCTCCCCATATCTCCCCATATCTCAGCAGGCCTGTCATCGGGCAGGACACGTTGTAGTTGCACATATCTCCCCAAATCTCCCCATATCTCAGCAGGCCTGTCATCGGGCAGCACACGTTGTAGTTGCACTGGCCCCCGAGCACGTGATGCCCCATGTGGTTCTCGAAGATCCAGTGCGCGTACCTGGGTGGGAGATATGGGGAGATATGGGGAGATATGTGGAGATGTAATGTGGTTCTCGAAGATCCAGTGCGCGTACCTGGGTGCGGGGGAGGCGGGGAGGAGGGGGGGGGGGGGGGGAATGGAGCGGTCGGCGCTGCCTCTGGTGAGATGCACCGAGTTCAGGCGATATGCACCGAGATGCACCGAGATGCACCGAGATGCACCGAGATGGGGTGAGATACACCGAGATCGGGCGGTCCGACTGAGGCCGTTCGTCCTCGGCCTCGGCGCGTCTCGGCGAGTCACTCGGCGCATCTCGGCGCATCTCGACGAATCTCGGCGAATCTCGGCGAATCTCGGCGAATCTCGACGAATCTCGACGAATCTCGGCGAATCTCGGCGAATCTCGGCGAATCTCGACTGGAGCGCACCGCGTGCCGATTAGCCACTCCGAGAAGGCCTAGGACGGGTCACAGACAGGGTCAGGGGTAGGGTCAGGGATAGGGTCAGGGTTAAGGGTAGGGTCACGGTTAGGGAAAAGGTTAGGGCGAGGGTGAGGGCTAGGGTAAGACTTGGGACGAGTCAGAGTAGCCGAGCATCATCTCGGCTGATCTCGGCTGATCTTGGCTGATCTCGGCTCATCTCGGCTGATCTCGGCTCATCTCGGCTGATCTCGGCTGATCTCGGCTGATCTCGGCCTTGCCGCCGGCGACGCCCGGTCCGGTGCCGAAGCCGTCGGTGAGTGCGACGGGGGGCAGCCCGTGCATCGGCGGGTGGATGGCGTTCCACACCACCGCGTGCAGCAGCATCGAAGGCAGCAGGATGGCGAACGTGTCGGGCAGGCTCCAGCCCATCAGCGCGTACGTCGGCAGCACAGACGGCAGCATCTGCACCGTCATGATGAACGTCGCAGACCAGTGGAAGGCGGTGCCGCGGTAGTAGTCGCCGTCGAGCGACTGCGACGCCTTGTTCGCGCGCCAGCGCTCGTCGTTCTTCAGCGACATGTCGTCGTACGTCTCGGCGTGGTGCTCGACGTGTCCGTCGCCCGGCACCCTCTGCTCAGCGGCTGGCACGCCCGCCACGCGCTCGACGAGCGACTTGACCCACGGCAGCGACTCGGGCCTGTTGAACTCCAAATGCTGGAAATACCGGTGCGTCATGTACTCGTTGAGCGACATCAGGGCGTACATCGTCGGCAGGGCAGACACGTCACGCACGACAGTGGCAGCGAGGGTGAGCTCGGACATCGCTGGCGCCGCGGCGGTGCGAGGCCGCGCAGCGGCGAGGCTCGCGAACGGCGAGGGCGAGTACGCCGCGGGGAAGACGAGGGTCGCCAGCATGTGTCGAGCTGCTCCTTCGTGGAGGGTTCTTCGCATCCAGCGGGGTTCTTTCACGGTATCTTGTCGCGCACCGGCGAGCGAGTGGCACGAAAGAGTGCAAGTCGCGCATGCTTTTGCGTAACGGATCTCTTCAGTACCATCTCGCACATTAACGCGTTTTGTATCTTTAAGATTTGTGATTTCGAATTTTACTATTTTGCATAACTGAGGCGGCACACTCACCCAATATATTACACACGTAGAAGGGGCCGCGCCAACTGAGGCTGTGGCCTCGCGAGAGAGGTCTAATACAGGTATGGGCCACCGGCGAGACCTGCCTTCCGGCAGCAGCATTTGCGCAGCGCGATCCATGGCGCCTGTCAGTGTGTGTGAGGACCTCTAGTGTGAGGACCTCTACCGGGCTGAGGACCTCTTGGCTGAGGGCCTCTCTGAGGAAGCTGCCTGTCAACAGGAGGGGAAATAAAGAAAGGAAATGGACACGCCAGGCTAGGTCAAAGGACGAACTGAGACCGTTGGAGATCGTTTTGCACGCAGAGGGGTCCTCAGCCCAGACAGACGCCTCGGTCCTCACAGAGGTCCTCACAGACTAAAAGCGCCAATGACGCGGCGCAACTGGCCTGCTGCCGGACGGGTACGAGCTTTCTCAGCAGAGCACGCAAGTGTCTGAACGGCAGCGGCGAGCCGCCACGGCCCATGCGGCACTATCGTCGACACACTCGAGCCAGGCTCAATGCAGATCCGCACGGCTTTCTCATTTATTTACACATCGCGTATATTGTAACTTATCCACATGAATTGGCTGACCTCTCGTCCATGAATTGGCTGACCTCTCGTAGAATTGGGGCGGCCACCACCTGGCTGACCTCTCGAGTGCAGTGGCCTCTCTGTAACAGCTACACCGGTGAGATAGCTCGTATATCCTTCCGGCAGCAGGCCAGTTGCGCCGCGTCATTGGCGCTTTCAGTCTGTGAGGACCTCTGTGAGGACCTCTGTGAGGACCGAGGGTCCGAGGCGTCTGTCTGGGCTGAGGACCCTTCTCCGCGTGCAAAACGATCTCCAACGGTCTCAGGTCGTCTAGCAGGTCGTCCTTTGACCTAGCTTGGCGTGTCCATTTTGTTCCTTTCTTTTCCCTCCTGTTGAAAGGCAGCTTCCTCAAAGACGTCCTCAGCCCAGTAGAGGTCCTCACACTAGAGGTCCTCTCACACACACTGACAGGCGCCTAGGCGCCATGGATCGCGCTGCGCAAATGCTGCTGCCGGAAGCACTTGTACTAGGTCTCACCGGACCGGTGCCGGTGGCCCATATTAGAGAGGCAAGCCAAGGCACTGCTCGCGAAGCCACAGCCTCCTGAGATGGCGCCCCATGTTTTAAGCCCAGTTATGCAAAATTGTACATTCCAAGTACGAATGTGATAAATACGAAAACTTGTGTAGGCAAGAGGTGCTGCGTGGGCGTGAACTCAGACACTGTCGTCGTATATCAGGTTCTTGTTCGTTTTCCGAAACTTTGCTGTGGCGGCCCACAGCTCTCCTCGACGCTCGCGGCGCTCTTGGCGGCGGCGGTCATGCGGAGCCCAGGTCACGCCTGGGCAGACCTCCTTCCTGATTGATGGCCGCGCACGGCTGTCCATCCCAAACTGTCACTCCCCTTTCTCCCGGCCGGGGTGGGGCGCGCTGGGAATGGTGCGGGAAGTTCAGACATTTAACGATCCCCTCAAACAAATAATTAATCGTGAATTTTAAGAAGAAATCGAAAATTTCTCCCCCCGCCGCGCCCCCCGCTTGGCCGTTACCCTTCTCCCACCGAGCCTTGTGGCCGAGCGTCATGCCTCCGCGCAAGCGTGCCGCCGACGCGGTGACGGAGGAGGACGGCAAGCGCTTTCGCAGCGCCATCGACGAGATGGCCGAAGAATTCGTCTGCCCGATCACGCAGGAGCTTCCCGTCGATCCCGTCACCGCTGAGGACGGGCGCGTGTACGAGCGGAGCGCCATCGAGGCGCACATCAAAGGGCGCAGCGCGGAGGCACTCAAGTCGCCGATGACCAACGAGCCGATGGGCCCGCGGCTCTTCCCGGCGGTGCAGGTGCGCAACAATATTGAGCGCATGATCAAGAGCGGCGCGATTGGCGGCGACAAGGCGGCGGCGTGGAAGCAGCGGATCGAGGAGGAGAAGGTGGTGGCGAAGACGCGGACAGAGGCAGAGGGCGGCGACGCTGTCGCGATGTCGAGCCTGGGCTTTTGGTACAGGGACGGAAAGCACGGGCTGCAGGTCGACCAGAAGCAGGCCTTCGAGTGGTTTGAGCGGGCGGCGGAGCTGGACGACCCGCGAGGCCTCACAGCGTGCGCTCGGATCTTGCTCGAAGGCCGGGGCGTCTCGGTCGACACCGCGCGAGGTTTGGTCATGCTCGGCCAGGCCATCGGACAGGGGTCGGAGCAGGCTTGCTACTGGATGGGGCGAATTCACCAACGCGGCTGCCACGGGCTCAAGATGGACGACAAGCAGGTCGCTCGCTGGTTCCGTAAGATGCCAGGCTGCTCGTTCAAGAACGGCTCCGCAGACTCCCGCGACAATGCGACCAAGTGGCTGCGCGAGCACCCAAGCGCCTGATCGCGGCCCGCTGGCGCGAGGCAGGGTGTCCGGGGGAGGGTGCGCGTGGTGTCCCGGCGTGTGATCGTTTTTGTTTTTTCAAGTGTTGCTACCTTTATAGAGAGCGGAGAGTTCGAGGTGCGTGGGTACGCCCCGCGCGGGGGCGGCGGGTGTGCGGGATGTCTGTGGGCCCGAGAGCGATATGCCTTCCCTTTTGTATGTATGTGTAGGAAGGTGAAGAACAGTCAGGCTCGGACTGGACACCGACGCGGTATGGGTGGACGCTCCTTTTTTTCGTTCGAAAAGGCTAGCTCAAAAAAGAAAGAATTAAAAAAGAATTTCGCGGCCGAAGTGTGGCCGCTCGGCTTCTTTGTGGAGAGGCAGCGCAGGAGGGCCGCGGGTACCAATGTCCGCTGCCTCCTCCAACCTTGTGGGGGACGCACGCTTGGAGGACAGCACCGTTAGCGACGATGAGGCGGAAACGTCCGACGGCGCCGGGGCCGAGCTCTCAGAGCAGCTGAGCGCCTCAAGCCTTCACGAGGACAGCGTGCCCGCCGACTGCGCCGTCCTGTGGGCGTCGCTCGACCCTGTGCGGCGGTGCATCGACTTTTACCCGCGCGCGATCGCGCAGCGGCTCGAGGCGGCGCTCGGCAGCGGCGAGGACCGCTGCGTGCTCGGCGCCGACTTTTTCAACGCGACCGTCCACCTCCCGCCGGACGGCGGCTTCTGCCAGACGACGCCCGGGCAGCACATGGGGCGCTCGGGATACAAGGCGCCGGGCTTCCGCTCGGCGTGCCGCATCGTGCACCCGCGCAGCGCGCGCACGGTGACGCTCCATGGGCGTCGCGTGCAGGGCGAGTGGCGCCTCCTAGGTAGAACTGTCCAGGAAGTGTCGAGGACGTGTCTAGGAAGTGTCTAGGCGAGTGGCGCCTCGCCGAGAGCGGCGACGACGCCGAGTACAGCTTTGTCGAGGTCGCGCCCGCGCACTGCATGCTGTGCCGCGAGGCGGCGGAGGAGCCGTGCGCGCCGCTGCAGACGTGGGGCGCCGCGGACATGGCATCCTCCGACCCGGCCGTCCTGCGCAAGCCGGTGGTGGCAGTGGTGCCGCAGCACACTTCCAGTGTTTTCTTGCTGACCGTATTTCTCTCTTCTAGGTGGACGTGTGGCAGTGGTGCCGGGGCACACTTCCAGTGGTGCGCTACCGTATTTCTTTTCTCTAGGTGGTCGTGTGGCAGTGGTGCCGCAGCACACTTCCAGTGTTTCGCTACCGTATTTCTTTTCTCTAGGTGGTCGTGTGGCAGTGGTGCCGCGGCACACTTCCAGTGGTGTGCTACCGTATTTCTTTTCTCTAGGTGGTCGTGTGGCAGTGGTGCCGCGGCACACTTCCAGTGGTGGCCTACCGTATTTCTTTTCTCTAGGTGGTCGTGTGGCAGTGGTGCCGCGGCACACTTCCAGTGGTGGCCTACCGTATTTCTTTTCTCTAGGTGGTCGTGTGGCAGTGGTGCCGCGGCACACCCGAGCGCGACGGCGATCCGATGCGGCTCGGCGACGAGATGTGGTACCCCTACCTCTCTAGAACCCAACCCTCACCCCTGCCAGTCTGCCAAGTCGCAGCAAGGACGACAATCACACGCACTTGCCGAACACATATGGGAACCCTTACCCTCACCCTCACCCTAGGTGCCCCTACCTCTCTACAGCCCTAACCCTCACCCTCACCCTCACCGTTACCCTAGGTGCCCCTACCTCTCGGACCAGAACACGGCGATCGAGGCGGCCTTCAGCGCCGGCGCGGGCGCCGCGGCGGTCGACTTTGAGGCTCGCTCGCTCACACACACACACACACACACAAACACACACACACACACACACACACACACACACACACACACACACACACACACACACACACACACACACACACACACACACACACACACACACACACACACACACGCACCGCTCACCCACGCCGGCACTGGGCCTTGCACTTTGAATGCCGTGCGGCTCCTGTCGTCTAGACGTGGAGACGCGAGGGACTAGCCTGGCCCCTGCCCCACCGCCCCGTGTGTGTGGAGAAGTTTACCTTACTCTACCTCACCTTAGGCCCGATCGCTCCGCGTTACCTTCAGCCCTGGCGCGCCTACCGCACCACCCACGGGACTGAACCCACACTGGGTTCGATCCTCTGGAGGTATGGTACTAGGCACGCCGTGCTAGAAGCAGAAGCCACGTTCCTGTCTCCCAACCAGCCCTCGGTGGGGCAGCGTGCTCCACTCTACTCGGCCCTGTGCCGCTGTATTCACTGTCTCCGCCTCTCTTGGTACTCACGCGGTGCCATGAGCTCTCTGCACGACACCGTCTTCCCGCCCTCATGTCGGCGCATTCACAGCGTCTTCACAGCGCATTCACAGCGTATTCACAGCGTATTCACAGCGTGTTCAAAGCGTATTCACAGCGTGTTCAAAGCGTATTCACAGCGCGTTCAAAGCGCATTCACAGCGTGTTCAAAGCGTATTCACAGCGTCTTCAAAGCGCATTCACAGCGTCTTCACAGTGTCTTCACAGCGTCTTCACAGCGTCTTCACATAGGCTCGCCGTTTGCGCTGCAAGTGGACACGTCCGCGCGCAAGGTTGCGCCCGCCATATCTCCCCCACATCTCCCCCCACATCTCCCCCCACATCTCCCCCCATATCTCCCCCACATCTCCCCCCACATCTCCCCCCACATCTCCCCCCACATCTCCCGACACATCTCCCCCCACATCTCCCCCCACATCTCCCCTCAGGTCTCCCCCATATCTCCCCCATACCTCCCCCACACGCTCACCCGCACCCCTCCCCCCCAATCTCCCCCTTATCTCCCCCACATCTCCCGCGCCAGGAGCGGCTCGTGAGGCGCGCGCTGAAGACGGTGTGCGAGCTGCCGAGATATGGGGAGATGTGGGGAGATGTGGGAGAAATGGGGAGATTGCACTGTAGGCGCCCTGCCGAGCGTGATGCCGAGATATGCCGAGATATGGGGAGATATGGGGAGATCTAGTGAGATTGCTCTGTAGGTGGGCGAGCTGCGAGAGCTGCATGCGCGGATGGCCTCAACGGACGAGGAGGTGATCGTGATCTAGTTCACACAAGCGCACAAGCGCGGGCTCCGAAGTCGCACAGAGTCAGTCACGCAACACACGGGTCCGCGGTGGTATAGTTTACACTGACAGTTCGACACTGAGGATCGGGGGCCCTCCCATATCGCCGTGAGCGCAGCCTCGGGGGGGAGATGCCGCTAGGATGGATAGGGGTGTGATCTAGGGAGAGAGAGGGGGGGACAGGGTGGATAGGGGGGGGGGGGGGGAGGGAAGGAAGCGACGACTGGGACACCGGCGAGGTCCTCTCGAGATATGGGGAGATATGGGGAGATATGGGGAGATATGGTGAGATATGGGGACACCGGCGCGGTGTTGGGCGGACAAGGTATGAGCGACGGAGAGGCACGCGCTCGAGCGACACACAGACACACAGACAAGACCAGCGACCCCGACGGGGCGCACACACAGACACACAGACAAGACCAGACGCTCAGCCGACGGGGCGCACACAGACACACAGACAAGACCAGACGCTCAGCCGACACACAGACACACAGACACACAGACAAGACCAGACGCTCAGCCGACGGGGCGCACACAGACACACAGACAAGACCAGACGCTCAGCCGACGGGGCACACACAGACACACAGACAAGACCAGACGCTCAGCCGACGGGGCACACACACAGACACACAGACAAGACCAGACGCTCAGCCGACGGGGCACACACCACAGACACACAGACAAGACCAGACGCTCTGCCGACACACAGACACACAGACAAGACCAGACGCTCAGCCGACGGGGCACACACTTCAGACACACAGACAAGACCAGACGCTCAGCCGACGGGGCGCACACAGACACACAGACAAGACCAGACGCTCAGCCGACGGGGCACACACCACAGACACACAGACAAGACCAGACGCTCAGCCGACACACAGACACACAGACAAGACCAGACGCTCAGCCGACACACAGACACACAGACAAGACCAGACGCTCAGCCGACGGGGCACACACCACAGACACACAGACAAGACCAGACGCTCAGCCGACGGGGCACACACACAGACACACAGACAAGACCAGACGCTCAGCCGACGGGGCACACACAGACACACAGACAAGACCAGACGCTCAGCCGACACACAGACACACAGACACACAGACAATACCAGACGCTCAGCCGACACACAGACACACAGACACACAGACAAGACCAGACGCTCAGCCGACACACAGACACACAGACAAGACCAGACGCTCAGCCGACACACAGACACACGGACACACAGACAAGACCAGACGCTCAGCCGACGGGGCACACACAGACACACAGACAAGACCAGCGACCCCGACGGGGCGCGCGTACGCAGGTGAGCGGCGCCGCGCAGCAGCAGCGGCGGCCGTGCGAGGCGGTGCCTCCCGACTTCTTCTGCCCGATCACCCAAGACGTGATGGTGCACCCGTACTGCACCGTCGACGGCTTCACCTACGAGCGGCACGCCCTCCTAGCAGCCGGAGACAGAGAGTCTGCCGAGCTCCTTCGAGAGAGCTCTCTCGCGCCGCGTCGTATTCTCTACTTACCCACCTGTGTCCTTGTACTCTCCTAGCAGCTGTCATCGCCTCGCCCTCGCCCCCACCGTCTGCGTCTCCCTCCCCGCCACCGCCCTCGCCCTCTCCAGCCCCCCTC